CGCAACCAAGGTACATGCCCTTGTCCGGAATCGAACCCGGGACCTTTCAGTCCGCAGGCCGACGCTCTATCCACTGAGCCAAACCGGTCCGGCAACCTTTTGTTTTTAAATTGAACTCACAAATCATGGCCATCCATTTGAAGTGGCACCATAAATTAAAAGGAGACTACTTAGAAGCCTGTTGTGACACCACCATCAAAGTCTAATTACATCACAGCCACGTGATAAACACAGCGCACAGCCCGCAGGCATGTCAGGAGGGGCTGCTGCTTCCTCCAGGCTGAAGTCACTTGGCATCGAGCGCCTTCTTCAAGGCTCCTAAGGTGTGGTAATATCTGTGACTCATGAATTGTCCTTTCATTGCTGCACCCACTACAAGATTTCCACCATCAGATGAGCTATTGGGTTCTTACTTCATTTGTTTACTGCACACAAATGCCATCACAGTAAATGCCTCGTTTACTAAGGCAAATCAGCGGGGTCCTCTTGCCAGATGTGTGTAGAGGGCCGCCTGGGAAGGCACATGGGCATTCCTTGTAATTGTTGCCAGCTGAGACCGAGACGATTGGCAGAGCCACATCTAGGATACACATTTCCCCAAGATGGCAGAGTGTAATCAGCGTGGCCTTTGTATTAGCCCAGGGGTGGGCAGGGGTGGGACTAGGTATGTAAATCTGGGCCCATAAAAATAAATGAGCTGCGTGGCTCCAGGCCCTCATCATTGCAGCCTCTCCATCAGAGAGAATGGACGGTGTCCCACCCATCTCCCAGCTTTAAATCTATCTCTGTGTCTTCTCTCTTTATTTCTATTATTTCTCAATCTCTGGCTCCACTTAGAACCGCTTCGTTCATCTCTCTTTCCACGCGGGACGTGGGAAAGGGAGACTCCCCGCCATGTCTGGCCTCTGCCGCATCAGGCCCCCGCAGATATGACCTACCAGGAAAAAGGTGGGGAGGAGCTGAAACCGGTTTGGCTCAGTGGATAGTCAGCCTGTGGACTGAAGGGTCCCGGGTTCGATTCCGGCCAAGGGCACGTACCTTGGTTGCGGGCACATCCCCAGTAGGGGGTGTGCAAGAGGCAGCTGATTGATGATTCTCTCTCATCGATGTTTCTAACTCTCTATCCCTCTCTCTTCCTCTCTGTAAAAAAAAAAAAAAAAAAAAAAAAAAAAAAAAAATCAATAAAATATATATATTTTTTAAAAAGTTGAGGGGGGGAGTATCTAGTGTGATGATCTCAATCGTTTCATTTACATAAAAGGAAGAGAAATAAATATGGGTTTATCTACTACCCTAGGAATCCAACCAGAGGCAACCTGTGGACTAGGAAGAGGGGCTTGCTATGTTAGCATCCACCCTGAAACTGATGGCCTACAAAGGGGGACCCAGAGGGTGCTCACTCTGACTGAATGGAAGAGAGCAATGAGGCGAGGGGCTAGGTAGGCAAGAAGCTCCTTTAGAGGACCAGGTGAACCCCGATAGCCTCTTCTACAAACTGAGATCGGTGAGCCAGAAGGTCTGCAGCCTCCCTCTGAGGGTCCCAAGTGCATGTGCATGTGCACGGAGACTGTGCCATGGCAGAGGGCAAGCAGGGTGTCAGGCCCCCCAGGATCCATCCTGGTCCATAGGAGTGGGGAGTGGGCGGGGCCTCAGCCTCTCCTGGTCTCAGTGTCTCTTGGGCCTGGAGGCAGAGGAGTGTGGCAGCAGGCAGTCACCTCCTGGGAGGAGCCCCGGGGCAGATGTAGCACTTCTCACTACCTTCACTGTTCCCTCACGAAGAGCATCTGGAACCTATTTCATGCCAAACAAGCAGCATGCATCTCACAACTCCAGCACATGCTGTACGTACTACTTGGGATAACATGTTCTCTCCTCTGAACGTCTTCGCAGGGCTCACTGCTGTAGAGAACACACTGCACCTCACACATCCCCATGGATGTTTGGAAGAGGCCTGGAGTCAAAACACCCAGAATGCCCAGGGGAAGCAGACTGTCACCAGAACTTGCTTTCTCCAGGGCCCTCACGTCAAAGAAGGCTCTCCAGGACCGGGAGCAATGGCAGGAAAATGGGCCCTGTTGAGTGAAATGCTGCAAGTGAGCACCGGGGTATGAAGCAAAGTGAGCTGCAGCTACCCCGAGAAGCGAGAAACACTGGGCTCAGTCATCTCTGCCTCCCCTTTCATGTCTGCCTCTGTCCCCCCGTTCTGTCTCTTCTTCAGTACCTGAGCCACAGCCCCCACACCTCACCAGCACCCCACACGTATGCCAGTCAATCTTCAAAGCATCCCTCCAAAATTCCGGTCCTTCTGGTCAGCTTTTGGGAAAGAAATTACATCACAATTTTAGTCACACTAAAAGCTAAAATCTGAGTACAGCCAAACTCTTCCTTTCAGAGGTGTTCACATTGTAGGAGACAGCAGGACAGAAAGCTTTAACCCCAAAGGAACCAATCCTCAATGATGGGTTTACAGGTCACCGGGATAACACAGACATGGGGCCATCCGTGAGCTTTTCAGATCTAGACATCTGAGCCATAACCCACGGAAACTACTTACAACCACTAACATCTGTCCGTGTATGTTGGTCAGCTGTGTTTGCTCTGGGGACTGGAGATGTGCTTGAGAGCATATTATGGCATAGCTACACACGTTTTTTCTTAAGTCCCGCTGCTTTGGTCAACTACTGACATGCCAGGTCAACAGGCTCCTAATTATTTTTTTTTTTAATTTTCACTATGAATTTTATTTTTGTGTTACTGGAAATGGAAAAACTGAGTGGGACTTCTATGCAGCTTATCCTCAGCAGCTGAATCAGCCCAGCAGACAACTGTGGAACAGGCTTCAAACATGCAAGTGACCAAGATAGAGAAACAGCACTAACCCATATATTTACAAACACTTTTCAGTTTGACCTGATAATGTAAGTGACTTAATAAAATTTTTAAATTATGACAGGCCTGAAAAAAAAAAAAAGTAAAGACCTACATTTTTTGCTTATTACTACTTTGGAATCCATAAAGACTCAACTACGCTAAAAGGACATTTCCCAGCTGGCCAGAGTGCCCCAGTGGTTGAGCTTCAACCTATAAATCAGGAGGTCACGGTTGGATTCTGGGTCAGGGCACATCCCCGGTAGGGTGTAGGGGTGAGGAGAGCATGCAGGAGGCAGCCAATCAATGGTTCTCATCGTTGACGTTTCTATTTCTCTCTCCCTCTCCTTTCCTCTCTGAAATCAATAAAAATCAATAAAAATAAAAGCAAATTTCCCTGTCCTTTGTAAACCCAGGTTTGCTTGCACAGCTTTCTCTGCTTCCCCCCCCCCCTCCTCCGTGGTCCACCCATCCTCACTCCAGAGTGCCTGACATTCATTAGCTTCATAAAATAAAGACCTTAACCTCTACAGAGCGGAGCTCTAGCTCCTGCTGGCCTTTCCTCAGGTAAATGGGGTATCAGGTTCCACCTGAATCCCTGAGGGAAGGAAGCCAGCCGCCCAGCTTTTAACGCAGGTGTTTTACCTGCACCTACAGGACGGTGGTTAACTTCTTTCCGGACCCGATTTCTATCACTTCACATTCCAGCAGTGTTGCTAATCAGCCTAGTTCATGCCTTTCCTCCCTCTGCTCTAGACCAGCGCCACCAAAGCGCGTCCCAGGCCAGCACCCCCTGGGAACTCCTTAGAAAGGCAAGTGCTCGGGCTGGCGTCCAGCCCTAAGGAGTCGTTCAGCCATGTGTCATGACGACCCCTCCAGGTGACTCCCCGAGGGAACCTAACGTCTGACAACCAGTGACTTCGGTTATTTCTATAACCACAAACAGATGATCGTTAGGCACACTGAGTGTGGCCTGGCAAAGGCACTGTGCATAAGCGCTCACGGGCTCCTCGCCCCTGACGCAAACTGCGTTTCCCCCGCTCCCGGGCCGGCCAGGCTCAGTTCCCCACGCTAATCGCTGCAGGCAGGTGGGAGGTGAGTGTTTGTAGCTTTTCTCACCATTGAAATAGAGGTCCGTCGCATTTTTTTAACCAAGGCTCTATAGTTTGCTTTTTTAGCTTTTGGCAATTGGGGGCGGGGGGTGAAGATGGGGGACGGGAGAGAAGAAATGGATGGGTGAGAGCTGCGTGCCAGCTGCTTGGTCCCACCGGATCGGGGTCTCAGGGAGCGATTCGGGAAGGGTTTCTTCCAGCGAAGGACGTTTAATTTGGGCTTTACCTGTGGGACTGCCCGTCAGACAGGGGAGTTGGGGCTTGGGGGCGAGCCGCACCTCTCCCCGCCGCCGGCATCCCCGACGCAACAAGCGGTCGCGAGAAGGGAGCCGGCCGAGCGCCGTGCGGCTCCGCGCCCTGGGGACGGGTTTAGGGAGAAGCTGGCACCCCGAAAACCCGGGGGCGCTTAACCCGACACCGCAGCCCGGGAGACGGCGGGCGGTGAGCCTGAAGCCCTCAAGGGCCGCGCGGAAGGAAACCGCAGTCCCACCGGGTCCGAGTGAGGCGCAGAAGCTAGAACGGAACGGAGGGGGGCACCCCAGGAGATGGAAGCGGGGCTGGAGTGGAGAGAAGGGGAGCCCCAGGAGGGGGACGTAGGGGGCTGGAGTGGAGAGAAGGGGGCGCCCCAGGAGATGGAAGCGGGGGGCTGGAGTGGAGAGAAGGGGAGCCCAGGAGATGGAAGCGGGGGGGCTGGAGTGGAGAAAAGGGGAGCTCCAGGAGATGGAAGCGGGGCTGGAGTGGAGAGAAGGGGGCGCCCCAGGAGGGGGAGGTGGGGGGCTGGAGTGGAGAGAAGGGGGCGCCCCAGGAGGGGGAGGTGGGGGGCTGGAGAGGAGAGAAGGGGGCGCCCCAGGAGGGGGAGGTGGGGGGCTGGAGTGGAGAGAAGGGGGAGCCCCAGGAGGGGGAGGTGGGGGGCTGGAGAGGAGAGAAGGGGGCGCCCCAGGAGGGGGAGGTGGGGGGCTGGAGAGGAGAGAAGGGGGCGCCCCAGGCGGTGGAGGCGTGGGGGGCTGGGCCAGTACTCACTGTGCGGGTCGCTCTTCTCGCGCACCCCGTCCACGCGGCCGTCGGGGTGGATGCGCAGGAAGAAGCCCCCGTTCTTGCAGTAGAGCCGCTTGGGGTCCTTGAAGTGGCCGGGCGGGAAGGCGCCGCTGCCTCCGGCGTCCGGCAGGGCGGGCATCGTGGTGATGCTCCCGGCGGCCATGGCCCCGCCGGGGCTCTGCCGGGGCCCCCGAGCCCCCCGGCCCCGGCCTCGGCCTCCCACCCGCTCCGAGGCGCGGCCCCGGCCCCGGCCCCCCAGCCTCCCGCCCGGCGGCCCCCGGCCACGGCCGCGGGCCCCCCGCCTCGTGCCGCTCGGCCCGGCCCCCTCCGCCGGCCCCGGGAGCGGGGACCTGGGGCTGCGAGGCTCCGCGGCCGCCACGCTCGGGAGGGAGGGCCGCTCCCCTCGCCGCAGCGCCCGCGATCCGGTTGCAGCGGCGGGCACGGCGTCCACCGTCTGGCACAGCCGGGCCGCGGCGTCACATCTTCTCTTCTCCGCCCCCCGCACCCACCGCCCCCCCCCCCGCTCCCCGCCTCCCGGCGCCGCCCCCCGCCCGCTCCGGCCGCGGCACGCAGGCGCGCGAGGTGGGCCCCGGGGCCGAGCTCCACCCGGCCGGTTCCCCCCGAAGTCGCCCCAGCCCAGCCCCGACCCGCCGAACCACGTTAGGTATTTCTGAGCTGAGGAGCTCTTGCTGCGCAGCCAGCAGTGACTCAGTCTTTAAAGTCTAAATGCAACTTGCTCCCCATTCTTTCCCAGGCCAGCGTTCCAGTGCAGAGAAGCAATGTCCACCCCCTCGAAGTAGAGAAGTCAGAATAGGGGGCGGGGTCCTGTGTCAGAATAGGATTTGAATGTCTCTAATCACCCAAAGAGAGGGGGTATGCGCGGGACACAAACTGTTAAAACCGAAGGCGCAAGGCTGAAGTCATTTACCCGAAAAGGAGGGAGAGAAAGAGGCCGGAGGAGGGGAGCGGGCTGGGTTGCTAAGAGGAGAGGTTTTCTTTCGCCGACCTAGTAAGAGTACAAGACTGCGTGGGAAAATGAAGAAGAGCCTTATCGTGACAGCCTGGTGTTCATGTCTTCAGTCCAAGGGTCACTAACCCTTGCTAACTCGTTAGGCATTTCTCGGAGACAGGGTAGTTTTGTGAAAATCCTGACTACAGAGATAAAGTTAGTAGCATTTTGGTAGCTTTCGGTAGAATATAGCAGGCACTAAGATTAGGAAAATACCCATCCATAAACCTTTATATACCGAGCGCCCGCTATGCGCAAAGAAAGCATTGGTAAGTGCAGTGGGAGATGCCCGATGGGGTGGGACCTTCTGGCACAGGGAGGGGGACTCTGGGGGCAGGAGCGACGCGAATACCACTAGGGAGTGTCAAGGAGAGGAGAAGAGAGTGAGATTCCTGCAGAGGTAAGTAGCTTGGGGACAAATAGGGGTAGGAAAAGCTTCCAGGAAGAGGAGGATACAGAAGTTCCTCTATTCAGGAACATGTTTGGTTTCAAAAGATCATGAGTGCATTTGTTCATAAGTCTCCAGGAGGGGCTTATCTCTAGATGCATTTCGAGGAGTAAGAGTCGATCCTTTGGAGCTTTAAAACCTCTGGGCTGGTGTATGTTCTCTGCCGTCTCTCTCTGGAATGGGCAGGTTGTATCCGCATTGAGAATCTAATTAAGACAATTCCCTTCCAGGTGATCTCTGTAGGCATCCCAAGGAATGCTTGCCGCTACTATAGCACCTGAGGAAGAGAGTGAAGAAATAAAATGGAGTCACTACAACCAAGCTGCTAAAATACTAAAATAATTTATTTTAAATTAAAACAGGAATACTATTTTAACTAGCCCAGGAACTTAAACTCCTGAACTTGCCAGTCCCTGTCATCAAACCTCCAGATAGCTTTCTGATTGCCCCCTGAAGGACTAAGGAAAGATTGTTCTTGTATCCAGACCACCTGACATCCATTATCCAGACAACTGGTCATCTAGATCTGTGGTCGGCAAACTGCAGCTTGCGAGCCACATGCAGTTCTTTGGCCCCTTGAGTGTGACTCTTCCACAAAATACCACGTGCGGGCGCACACATACCATGCGATTGAAACTTCATGGCCCATGCGCAGAAGTCGGTTTTTAGCTCTCAAAAAAGAAATTTCAATCGTTGTACTGTTTGGCTCTGTTGACCAATGAGTTTGCTGACCACTGATCTAGAGGATCATCATCTTGGACCAGCACAGAGGCTAACAATGCAGTACTAATTCTTCTCATGAATGTACATTTTAATTTATTATAAGAACTCTTAGCTTTTTTCTCTTGCTTGGAATATTCTGGGTTTTGCCTACTTGTGTTTCTGGTTTGTAAACCCTAAGACCCTTGAATAAATATTTATCATTTATTTCTAGCCAGAGCCTCCAGAGTCTTCTTGAGTTCATTCAACATGCTCATCAAGTTACCAATGATCTTAAAGTAAAGCAGATTTAAACAAGCCTTGAACTCTGTGGTGCAGAAACCTGAGTCTCCTAAGAGCAAAGAGATAATAAGGCCTAAGTCAAAGTATTTTTTAACAGGATGTCTGGCAGTGAGGCAAAGGTGTACTGGCCACCATAAGAAAAGGTAACTTCAGAGCAAAAGACAAAGCAGGCAACTCCTTAGAATATAATAGAATTTATTATAGAGTACTTTACTTAAAGGAAGATTGGGTCATAGCAGAAGAGTTGACCCAGCAATTTTGCACAGATTATTATCTGCTAAAGACTCCTGTTACTGTCCAGTTTTTACAGTATAGTTCAGGCACTAGTGATTGACAAAGCAAAGGGACAAAGAACGAAGTAGTGCCAAGGGCCATGCCTCCTGGTGGTCATCCTATCTCCAGTTTGATATTTATATCCATTGTCATGCCATTCCATATGTTACTCACAAAAATATTTATGGCTACATTTTAAGAAACAGATAATCATCAATTATCAACTAGAAAGTTTTGATACACTTGCTATGGATAGCGATGTTGATCAAAGGTCACAGCCTGATAGGACAAAGATATGGAAATGGTTTTTGTTTTCATCTACACTTATGCACAATAATAACCAGAAATTTTGGGAATAGATACAAATAATTAAGTAATGTGTATGCTAATGGCTCACAGACCTTGTGGGACTGCATTCCATGCACAATAACCCCTTGTTTCATAGTCCGATAAAAACCAGGAGAGGAGATGTCACAAGAAATGATTAATTCAGCTCTGGGTATCTAGGTTTCCAAGACAAACAGTATTAATTCCAAGAAGACATCATTAAGATACTTGTCTCAAGTTTCTACCCAGCCCCCTCCCAACACACACTTGTATACACACAGACACACTATTCTTTGATGCAATCAAGTTGCTCTCAGCTGAACCATGAGCACTCAAATTACTTACATTCTCAATTTACCCAATTATAAGGATGAACTGGAAAATAACGTCAATTTTAAAAAATAGAACCAATAGGAGAAATTTTGTAAGATGATGAATATAAAATTCATTATTAAAAAAAAAAACTACTAGGTTCCAGAGATGACAACTTAGGAACTATAAAGGAAAGAGGAATTTTCCTCATAATACCAAAATAAATTATGTTGGAATTAATAGTAATTGCTCATAATCTAAATAATGAAAAACACAAAAATTTAGTGACAACTTAAAAAAAAACCTCATAAATGTACCTGGTTGGAAGCATATAGTAAAATAATGTAAAATTTTTCTATCCATATTTAAAAACTTTAAACAATACTAGTTCAAATTCTAATACAATTTTAAAACTATACAACAATATTATAAACTCCATTTGGGTAAATAAACTTGGGAATAATGAGTTCATTTTTTAGATTGTAGGGGCAAATATAAAAGCTTTTAAATGGACAAAAAAAGATTCTTAGGCCTTCAGCGTCAGACTGGGGGTCCCATCGGGCTGCCCTGGTTTTCTGGCTTTCGGACTCAGTAAGGACCAGCTCTCCTGGTCCTCAGCTTATCAATGGCAGACTGTGGACTCACCAGAGAAGGGCTCTGCTCAGAATGTCAGGAGTGCCTTTGCAATAATCACACCCTTTTCTCCGGTAGAAATTAAAATTTACTCATTACAGGCAGTGGCTCTGTTGCCCTTCCAGTAGCAAACTGCTTGTGTCAGCAGCTGGATTCTAGAGGAGTAAAGTAACTCCAGAAGAGGCTCATCAAACTTTTCTTGCCTATTAATGAAAATGAAAATATCATATTTGTGAAGTTCTATGAAAGGAAACATTGGTTGATTCTTGTATGTGTCCTGACTGGGAATCAAGCCCACAACCCTGGCATATTGTGATCGATGCTCTATCAACTGCTCTACCCTCCCAAGGCATGATTTTACTTTTTAAAAATAAGAGTAATAAGGAGAAACTTGCCCTTTCAGATGTTAAAAGGCATTATAAATCTGTTAAATATAAAACATTGTGGAACTGATGCATGAGATGATTGAAGAGCCAATGCAATTTAATCTGATTACATTTTCAGAGTGTATCTGAACTGATTATATAATAAGCTGCCACAAAACAATATTTTAAAAATTTCAGTATCACTAAGTAATAATGTATGTCAAGTAATAATAATAATAATAAAAAAAACTCCCCCAAAAGACAAGCCCAGCATCAAATGGTTTCATTTTCAATTGTTCCAGAAAGAATAAAATATTTAGGAATAAATTTAACCAAAGAAGTACTCTTTGACAGTGTCAGGCCAACGCTCTAGCCACTGACCCAAACCCGCTAGGGCAATGAAGGAATATTTTTAAAGATGAACTTAAGACTATTTTCTTTTTAAAACATCTTTATTGATGACTTGAATTAGATTTCTTTTCATTTTTTTATTATTCATTTTTAATTAGTTCAGAAGCCCATAAATACAGTATCTTTCTAAAAAATGAAAGCATTACAGATAGTGGACTCTACCCCCAATCCCAGTCATTGCCTCTTCTCCCCAGATGAAACCATTGTCCTTATTTGTTATGTATCATTCCGAATCCACATGTGTGCATTTATAGCCATGTGTTTAGCCAGAGGAAAGATCTAGCATTGTTTTGTAGGAGTGTGTGTCCGTGCATAATGCTGTAGACATAATGTTGTCCTTATCTTTCAGCCCCTTGCTTTATCACTCAATGTACATCTTGGAA